TAGTTGATTTGTGGAAGTTGAGTAGGCCAGCTCTGGAGATCAGCACCAGTTAGCGAACTTACTTGTAGAGCTTGTCGCACGAACTGATGTTTACGCTCATACCACCCAGCATAAGGACCACCATGCGGAGGTATAGTGACTGTAATGATGCCGAGAACGCTAGCCCACTTCTTTAGTCGCTGAGATTGGTTAGAATTGAGCCAAGGCGTATTGACACCATAACCATCAAACACTAGCACACGCGGAGCGCCGTAATCTCCGAATAGAACTTCAAGATGGTATATTAGCTCAGCGACAGTGAGCGAGAACGTAGACCTTAGCCAAGTAAACCCAGTGACCCCACAGGTTATAGAAATGATAGCTCGGAATATCTTGTTGGGGTGGGAGTCACTCTTGCCATCTGTCATTAACATGTGGTCGACAGCCATAACCTGGCCAGGGGCGGTGCCTTTGAATCTGACACGCCCGAAACGGCGTTTGTGCTTGATCTGTGCGTGAACCCTTTGACATGGATCACACGTTGATAACCGTTTCTTGACCATCGCCTGGAGATGACGTATATAATATATAGCCCCAATAATCTCCGCTAGCTTAGGGTAGCCGAGATGACAATACTTGTTGTGTGCTGCATCAATAATGGCGTTGATGAAGTCCGTGTTAGATCCACCGTGGGCAATGGCGATTCGAGGCTGTACCTCACCCTTGGTATCAGCAAGTGTGATGCGGTACAATAGCCTATTTTCATCATCGATCTTGTATAAGGGCCCTTCTTTCTCAAGGAAGCTCCTAGGTAATTTGAAGTTAACAGACCATTTTTGACCATTTTCGTGCCACGCGCGAATCTCCTTCAGGATTGGGTCATCCTGTTGATGCTTCTTGATCTCGGCGTAGTTTATAGGCAACCGTTGCACCACACCATCGGGTAGTGGGTCCGCGTCATCAACTTGTGATATTGCGGCAACAATAGCGGTTGGCTTGGACTTGCCGTTGTTAGACTCGTCGGGGCAGTATTGAACAACTGGAGAACCATGTACCACTTGACGCGCATCAGCTAAGGTAACCGTAAAGGGGGTGACCGGGAGGATACCTCGCGATGGACCGTCGGCCAAGTTACTTGAACTCGGCACATGTACGACCTTCCACTTGTTGGCAAGGCACGCTGCTCGGATGAAAGCGAGCCACCGTGTCTCTAGGGGAGTCATTTGACATTTAGAATGCTTAGCCTTCAATCTGTAGATGGCGATGGCACTGTCAGATAGGTTAACCCATTGACGTTCACCCTTTAGCTCTGGATGCTGCTCATCTGTGACTGTACCCAGAGCGAGCATCAGCTCAACGGCTTTGAAGAGACAGTAGAGCTCTTTTTTGGGGATCGACCAGGACGCCATTGCCATACCATATACCGAGCCACTGCCCTGCAGAGGATAGATAACTGAGGTAGGTGGGGGGCCGGTAAGATTATGTATATACTCAGGGCATAGTGCTGTGCACGCCCAGGCATTTTTACTGGAATCACAATACATGTATAACTCCTTTGGACTTAGAGCTCGTGGTAGAGGGATGTGAGACCCATTGTTGACGCTTGCGCACCAACTGTTGAAGGCTTCGATATGCTTGGCATCAACTGGCTTATCCCATGCTGGGTCTTGAATATATGCCTCACGCAAATTCAATCGAGCACGGACCGCTAC